GTTGGCGGGAAGCGACATTCCAGCAGGATGCGTCTCCGCGGAATGCTGGTAGTTCGGCCCTCCGCATGGAAGAGCTCCCGGCAGCAACAGGTGCAGAGCTACGGGATGGGCCAGCTGCCTTCGAGCGGCCAGTCTTAGAGCGCCACTCCCAGAAGTTCCAAAGGTTAGGATGGGGTGAAGTCGAGTGGAACGTCTGCGCCAAGCGAAGCTCACTGCACAAATGGTAGGCGGAGACAACTCACAGCAACAAAGAAATTCTTGGGGAACGGATGCGAATTTAATCTCCTACTTCTGATGGGCCACAATGGCGACGGACAACCAACTGGGAATCGCAATGTCCTGCACTCGATTATGCCACAGTTCTTCCAGAAATACACTCTCCCACACATCCATGCGAACCTTCGCCCTTGCTCACGACTCCCTGGAAAAACCAAGACCAGAGAAAAGCGAGATCCCAGGGGCACAACTGTAAAGGAATCGAACGAGGCAGAGGCGGAAGATGAGAACTGTGAGAGGACACCCATTCTTTCTCAGCGACGCACTCCTTGCAGTGTAGCTTCTGGCGATTCTGCAGCACTGTACGAGCACCTCTGGCACATCTACGTCGCGGGATCCGACGCGTCGAATCCTTGCGCACGACGTGCCTTCCACACCCTAGTGATGCACCGAGAAGATGCGCGATGCGTGCGTCCACTCTTCGACCAGTACTTCAGCTCATATGCCGTTCTTCGGGACCTACGTCCCTGTCATATCCCTTGTGCATCCCCGCTTTTTGTCACAACTCCCTGGAGTCTGCACTACTGAACGCCCACGAACCAGCGTCACCGAAGAGCGAGCTCCGCCAGCGATCGGTGCTCGTTCACACAAGTAGATTGCTTGCCAATGGCCGAGAAGGGCTGAGAATGGCCCACAATGGCCCCCAGAGGCCCACAGAGAGCCACGACGAGGCCGAACGACTCACCCCAGGACGAAGGGCGCGAACGATTCAAACCACGAGGAACCCGAACGACTCACACACCAGAAGAGCCCCGAGCGGATCCTTTCCCCGTTCCTCCTCCCCCTCTTCCCTGGTCCGGCAAGGAGCGCGGGCGCGCTCCCTTTCATCGCGCGTACGCAACGCGCGAAGTAACTCCCAAGCCCGCGCTTGTAGCCGCAGGCAACCGCCGCACTGTCGCACAGCGCTCCTTCATTATCTTCCCCTTCCTCCGTCTTTTCCCTGGCCGAGCAAGGAGCGCGGGCGCGAGCCCCTTTTCTTGGTTCCGCATGCGCGTTTCTCATGGCGACCATGATCGCACATGGCGACCCCCAGGGCCCTCCTCCTGGCCCTCGTCCTTTTTCTCCTCCGTGTCCTCCTTCTCCTCTTCCCCCTCTTCTTCCTCCGGCTATAGAACCACAACCGAAAAAAAAGCTAAATTCCAAGGACATGACTGAAACGAAACACACAAAGCAGAGGCGGAGGAGGAGGACTGCGAGGAGGACACACATGTTTTGCCATCGAGCGCGCAATACTGGAGGACAGACTATAAACCAAACGTACTCTTCGCACGAGCGCGGTAGAGGAAGCATCGGAGGTCCGACTCCCAGGCCTGGCGAGCGCGCGATCGACCGCCACAAGCAAAATCGCCTCACCTCTCAACCTCTCGGCATCTGAGGGACAGGTAGCAACTCTTTGTGTCTTCATTCTTTTTGGGAGGGGACATGACCATATGTGTGTGTGTTTTGTGTGCATATCTATGCATATACACAATATGGACCGAGCCACGTGTCTTTATATCTTGACTTACATTTATGTATCGACACATGTCCACACGTGCAGAATTTACACATGCCTAGATTTAGACGACGCCCCCATCCCTCTGGGTCGAAATTTGAGAGACGAGATCTGAAAGGAACTGACTCTATCTTTCATCCGCTCTCTAGCACAAACATACGTACAGCATGCGCGCCATGCACGGAGACCACACGGCGTGATATCACTCGAGAGAAGCGTGCTTTGTGGTCCTAGGGGCCTTGGTCGGGCCCAAAGCGGGAAAACAAAGCACCCGTGCCACAAAAAACCTTAGAATACAGAAGAAGACGCCACACAATCTCGAGCACTGCGCAGACGGTCGCAAATTTTCCGTACATCATGCGACGGTTATTTCCGCATAACTACGCCGCGCGTTGGTGCGGCCACGCGTGTCGACCACCTGGGCGGTCTTAGTGGATCGGAAAAGGTAGAGATCCCGAGTGAGGAAGAGGTGGAGGGGATGGGCGTTCTTTTAAACACGCTGATTGGCAGGTATACGTGTCCCAGTCTCTCGGGTCGACTCCTAGCGCACGGCATGCTGTGCAGACCAGAGTAGAGTCCTGGGCAGACGAGGATTGCTGCGTTCAGAGTTCGTCTGCATTTCAGTACATGCGCTGTTGTAGATTTCCCCCACCGCGGCCCCCAGAAGCCGTCCATAACGAAAAACCACACGTTATAATTTCTGCACGACGGTTGAGGATCTGAGCTTCT